TGATGACAGTAAAGAATAGGTTTAGGAAGATAAGAAATAGGTTTAGAAAGGTGAAATGGAATAATAGGAGACTACAGTAAAATAGAAGGATATTTTTGATTAGAAGTAGTTTTTGTTTAGGGAACTGGAACACTTACAGATGATGGTGAAGGGTGGAGTGAATTAGTAGGTCGTGAGATATTTTGTGAAGGTCATAGACTTGAGCAAGGGACCTTCCACCTTAAGCAGAGAATTTAGAAAGGGCTTCTTGGTTAGTTAAAATATTAAGCAGAGCATAGTTTTGAATGATTGGAGTATATAGAAGGGTCAGAGGAAGTGGTGGCATAACTGGAGCAGGTTTGTATTTGGCTAGTAATGGAACACAATGTGTAGCTAGTTGAGGGTTAAATGTAGCCTGGATTTGAGATTTTTGACCTTGATCCAATATGGAATAGAACACCATTGTAAGTTTTTGAAATTGGGCTGTAAAATGATGAAAATGGCATTTTAAGAAGATTAATGTATTGGAGGGGGAAAGCTTAGCTTGGCTGGTGATGAGGGCCTATACTGATGACAGGATTTGGTAATTAATTGTAATTTCAAATGGTTTGTCCAAGTCCTTTACGATAGCATCATCAGAGTTCTTTATTTAGACTTAGTTCTGACATATTTTGTAGTGGGTATTATGGAGAAACTAGTTTTTCAGAAGTTAAATATTGATCCTTATTCTATTGTGACTGTTGAAAATATTAGCAAGAAATTAGCTGAAGATAATGTATCTGCTATATTTATAAAACTTCTTGAAAGTTTCAGTACATAATATTTCAAATACTATTAAATTACTGGGTGACCTTATTCCATCATGATCTTTGAATTTTAGCTTGTTTTAACTTCAATTGCATAATCTTGGCATTTTGCTTACAAAAATGTGTTAAGAAAATTTAATACTAACTTGAAAATTTGTTTTTTAATTAAAAAATAATAAAACAACATATTACTCCAGCATTCTTGCCCCTACTTCAGATCTACCCTTCTGCAGAAATTTTCCCTCTTCCCCGATTTTATTTAAACCTACATCACTCCAATTTTTCTTTTGGGGTACCTGCAGTAATCACTGCCTCTTACTCAACTTTACTCTTCCCCCCACCACCACATTCTACTTAGCACCCCTACTTTGCACTGCTCCCAATAAAGTCAGTTCTTAGTGTCGTCTCCTTCTCTGCAGAGAGTAGTAAGTGTATTCCTGGGGTTGTTAACCTGATTTCCTCAAGTGCCAAATGCTGAAAAGAAACAGACCTACAGTCCACAAAGAAATTTAATTTCTTAACTGTTGATCACTTTACACAGCTTTCATTTATTCATTCTACTACAAGACCATTTAAAGTAGAAAAATATGTTTATGTAAAATATATAGAATACATTTATGTTGCTGTGTAAATATAATTTATTATGTTTGTAGGCATTTAAATGCCTCTGTAAGAGTATCTGAAGAGGAATCAGTTTCTTTTCTAAAGAAGCATACCATCTGGTAGAGGAGCTATATGTACAGATAACTCATTTTTAAAAAACAGTTCGTGATTAGTACCATAAAATCAAGATTTTATCTGTAAAAATTGAAATGTATGCTGTAGAAATTCAAGGCAAAAATCTTCTAAGGTAATCAGGGCAATCATGGAGGAGGTAGAATCTGAGCTAGGCCTTGAAGGATTAGTGGAATTCTGAATAATGGAGATTAGGAAAAAGGAGGCTTTTGGAGGGGGAAATGGCATCCAAGGGGCAAAGGCTAGGCAGTACAGGTTATGTTTGAGCACCAGCAAATCTACTTTGTCTTTGGAATGAATGATATTTCAAAGGGCATTTCCTGAGGAGAAGTTAGGAAAACAAAGAAAATAAAAGAAGCCACGGAATGAGTATGTTAAATATTGCAGTCCCAAATGCTATAGAGAAGTCAAAAGGGAAGTAGTTGATTTTAGAGGTTAGAAGATTATTGGTAACTTTAAAAAGAAAGCAGTTGCTGTAGTGTGTTGGAAGCAGAAACCAGATTGCACAGGTTTAAGGAATGAGTGGGTAGTGAGGTAGTTTGTGTAGTTTGTTGTCATGAGAAATTTGGTGGTAAAAGAAGGCTGAGAGAGATGACAACTGTTTGAAAGGTATGAAGGTCAAGGGAAGGTTTCTGAATTTAGGATAAGACCTGAGCTTCTTTGGAATAATACTAAGAGTAAAAATAGTAATAATAAATGCTTTTTAACTATGAAATGCTGAATAAATATAATTTATTATTATGTTTATAGGCAGAGCCAGTAGAGAAAAAGATTAAAAACATGAGTGAGAAAAGGTATAATGGACTGCATAAGACTTCAGGGGATTCAACTTAATTCAGCATTTATTAAGCACCTAAGGCATTATGCTGGAAGCTGGGGATGTAGAGACAAAATCCAAATACCTTCTTCTTTCACATTCTACTGGCAAAGAATAGATGTGTTTTAAGTTTTGATTTATACTCTCAAATTTATTAGAGGTCCATTAAACTGTAAACCAGCCAAGCAAATCACCTACTCTGGATCTAAGTCATCTAAGGACAGAGATGTTAAATATATATAAATTATAATTCTCTAGTTTAAGAAGTCAACTGAATTTGCTGATTGAAATATAAGTTGCAAACTTACCTGTAAACTTTATACACTCAATTTAATTAAGCAAAACGCTACTACGTAAATACTAAAATCAATGTAATATCAATCAGTGTTGTTACCTACGGCATCTTCAAAATAAAAGTTTGTTCTACTATCTGGCTCTCAGTTCTAATAAGTGCTAATTGTGGCTTCCCAAAATTTTTTTTCAGCAAATGTCTCTGTTAAAGGCCTAAAATATATAGAGAACAGAGTCAAATTTATAAGAATACAAGTCATTGAACAGGCAGTTTTCAGAAGAAATCAAAGCTGTCTATAGACATATGAAAAAATACTCTAAATCACCATTGATTAGAGAAATGCAAATTAAAACAACTCTGAGGTACCATTTCATCCCTATCAGATTGCCTAATATGATAGAAAAGGAAAATGATAAATGTTGGAGGGGATGCGGGAAAATTGGGACTCTAATGCACTGTTAGTAGAGTTGTAAACTGCTCCTATCATTCTGGAGAGCGATTTAGAACTGTACCCAAAGGACAATCAAATTGTGTATACCCTTTGATCTGAGCCCTCCTGGCTCAGAGTGGATGTAGATAGTGTTTCTCTTTTGACCAGCAGCCCTGAGGATCTTCCCTTCCCAGTTTGATTTTTTTTTTTTAATTAAATGGGCCATCCCTCGATTCAGTGCTTAAAGAGGCCTATTCACAACATGGGCTTTGCCTCATTCAGAGTGAGAACCTAAAAAGACCATTTAAAAGGACTGAGGTCTCCCATTGCATCCTGAGCCATCTCTAGTCATCCTGATGGATATCTGGCCACTGGACTCAGATGGCTCTGGAGGAGAAAGTGAGGCTGGTGACTGCGCAGCCCTCCCTCCCTCAAATCGAAGTCATTTGCAAGTCATGTCATCATCTCCCTGATGTCCTTGTCCTCTTTGAGAAGGACAGACTAACCACACACGACCACAGCCTTTGATCCAGCTACTAGGTCTGTATCCTAAAGAGAAAAAAAAGAATGGAAAAGGACCTACTTGTTCAAAAATATTTATAACAGCTCTTTTTGTGTTAGCAAAAATTGGAAATTGAGGGGATACCTTTCCGTTGGGGAGTGGATTGTGGTTGTGGTATATGAATATATTGGAATGCTATTGTGCTATAAGAAATGATGAGCAGGCCAATTTCAGAAAAACCTGGAAAGACTTCCATGAATGAAACCATTGTACAGAGTAACAGCGACATTGTGCTATGAATGACTTAGCTATTCCTAGCAATACAGTGATCCAAGACAGTTCTTCCAAAGATCTCATGAGGAAAAATGCTATTCACATCTGGTGAAAGAACTGATGGAGTCTCAATGTTAATTGAAGCCTACTATTTTCATTTTATATTTTTTTCGTGTTTTTTTCTTTTGGTCTTCTTTTACAACATTACTAATATGGAAATAGATTTTACATAATTGCACATACATAACCTATATCAGATTGCTTACCATCTTAGAAAGGGAAGAAGAAAATTAGGAACTCAGTTTTTAAATGAATGTTAAAATTTGTCCATATGTAGTTATAAAAAATAAAATACTATAAAAAATAAATAAATGTGGCTTCCCAGAGGTAGATCATCATAACTCTTAGAGGCTCTGTGGATACAAGGACCCAGTATCCCCCATCCTGTGCTTGACCTTAGACCACTGGCACTGGTAAAGCCACAACAATTTTGGCTTCTCTATCCTCAGTCTCCTAAAAACACATTACCTCTAAGATGGATCTTTTGCCTTACTAACCACCCTCTTCACCCCAGCTGAAAGCACTACCCTTCAGTCTTTCATTTTTCTTCCTCCTTTCTCCCCATGAAATTCTATGTTCCCAAGCCTTAGACCTTCCTCCATAAACCTCAAGCTTGGGGATGGCTATCCAGAAGGATTAATGAGATGAAAGGGAGAAGATACATTCTTTTCTCCAAGTCAGAAGGGAAAGAAGTAAGTTGAAGCTCATATTGATGGACCTTTATCTAGTCAGTGTGAAAAAACTTTGGGTCAGCTTTTGTGGGAAATATGAAAGAGATCCAAGTCACACAGGTTAAAAAAGTTTGCTGAGAAGCAATGATGTCCCATTTTAGACTATATAACAGAAATTTGTAGTGGATCAAATTAGTACAGTATTAATTTTTCTACAAGTGTATGGTAACCTGTTAATCTGGGAAAGTAGATGTTAAGGGTTAGAGATTGACATAATGAGAGTTCAGGGAGGTGAGTGATTCTCAGTGATAATGAGGGCATCCTTGAAATGACTGACCAAAAAGGCTAGACTGGGTAATGAGCTTTGTTAAATTGGTGTTGTAATTGTTTTCTGACTAACTTTAAATAGCAACATATCATTTTCTTATACCTCAGAAACAACATCCTGTGAGAAGAATTTCAAGAGGATCTGTCCTTGAAAAGAACCCAATTAAAGTAAGCTTTCTCCCAAGCTCTTCCAGCTCCAGATGGCTGTAGAATCAAGGGAGACGGTAGGCCTATCTCCTCTGGTACAGGCTCCAGAGGAAGGTCTTGTGATAGTAAAAGTAGAGGAGGAAGACCACCACTGGGACCAGGAATCCAGCTTCCATGAGCCTAACCCTCATGGCCAGGAGGTCTTCCGCCAGCGCTTCAGACAGTTCTGCTACAGGGAGACACTGGGGCCCCGGGAAGCTTTGATCCAGCTTCGAGCCCTTTGCCATCAGTGGCTGAGACCAGATTTGCACACAAAGGAGCAGATCCTGGAACTGCTGGTGCTAGAGCAATTCCTGTCCATCCTACCTGGGGAACTTCAGACATTGGTTCAGGAGCATCATCTAGAAAGTGGAGAGGAGGTGGTAACAGTGTTGGAGGATTTGGAGAGACATATTAATATACTAGGACAAGAGGTAAGTAGAAGGAATTGTGTTTTTGTAAGTAAGGGACCATGGAACTTTGAACGAATTGAGCAAGTTGAGAATGGCTAAATGTTAGTCTCCTATGTGCTGGGCTGCAGATAGTAATAATAATATAGTACTGCACGCTCACACACACACACAGTAGAAGGGAAAGAGAATAAGTATTTTATGTAATGCCTGCTATGTGCCAGAAACTGTGCTTAGTACTTTTTAGAAATATTACCTTATTTGATCCTCATAACAACTCTCTGAAGTGTTATTAATCCCCATTATTAATTAATTAATTAATCCGTGTTTAACAGATGAGGAAATTGAGGCACAAAGGTCAAGTGACTTTCTCAAGGTCATAACTAGTAAGTGTCTGACGTCAGATTTAAAATTAGGCCTTCCTGACTTCAGACCCAGTACTCTATTCACTCTAACACCAGCTGCCTTGTGTATATATGTGTGTGACTGTATATATGTATATGCATATACATAATGTATAATGCTTTAAACTTTGTCAAAGTAAATGTCATATTATTTTTAACTTTATAGGATCCCTGTGAAGCTGTTTCCCCACCTTGACAAATGAGCAGACATACTAAGAGGCTAATTGATTTTCCTAGGCTCCCATTTCTAGTTAATGCTAAATCTAAGAGTAAAATCAATTTTTCTTGATCACCAATCAAGTACTCTTTTCATAAAACTGCTGCCTTTACTTTCTTATTTTATTCCCAAAAACAGGACACTACCAAAGCAGTGGGATTTAATCTATCCTGGGCTGGGCTGAAATGTTTAGTCTTTGTCTCTTACTTAACTTCCTCACTGCCCTAGGACATGTTGTTGGGTATAGATTGTAACCTATCCATACCTTTTCATTCTTTGCAGTTCTTTTCCACGTTCTCTTACAAGTCCTTCACAGAAAGTTCACCTAACATTCTCGAGAACTTTGTTTGACATCTCTTGACATTATATGAATACCAGTGGAGCATATTGGCTAGCTGTCTGCTATCATTTCTTATGTGATTGATTGACTTCCTCTTCCATTGTTACATTTTTTCAATTAATTTTATGCTGCTTTTTAATATATAGCAGCTCATTCTTATCTAATATATATCTCTCCATTGTGTTCTGGGTGATCTGCAGCATTAGTTCTTGAGTGACTGTGGTATTTCATGATTTGTAGCCATGTAGCATCACTAGGAAAATATTGGAGCTAAAGTGTTTGGGCCTTTGTTTTGTCCCAGGGAGAAGCTTGGTATCATTAAAAGGATGGCAATTTCCCAAATGCAGTCTGGTCTACTTTCTTCCTATTCAATTCTTGGTCAAGTTAATTGTCTAGCTGTAGTGTCTATCCAAGATATACAAGGTGTCCCAAGAGTCTTGGTGCAGTTTTGAGCTTATTTAGATTCAGTCAAACTTAAAACTCCACTAACATTTTTATACCCTGTATATACTGATGAATCAGATCTATGGATTTTCTGTGTAACTGTCTGGAAAATAGGAGGTTTTTTGTCCACTTGGTTTTTCCTATTTTGTATAGTTCAACTCTCAAATATTTTTGGATCTCATCTAGGAGGCTCTGCAGTGCTCTTGGCTTGGTGTAATAAGTAAAATATCATCTACAAATAGAGTCATCAGGAGTACCTCATCGTCTGTAAGGAATGCTGCTTCCATTTGAACATCTTCTTTGGCACTGGCAAACACATTGGGCAAGCCTATATCTCCCAGCTTTCTTTCACTTGGTATTAGTAATCAGAGGTTCAGTATTATTTCTGTCACTGCATCTTTCAGAGAACCTTTTTGACTTTGACATATGCATAGGAGCTCCATTTTCGGAAGAGGAACCTTGAAGATTTGTTTTACCAAATGAAATGGTTTTTTATACTCAACAATCAATGTGCACAGTTGGAGTCTTGTAAGCTCTGCACTTTTCATTTGAATATGTTTTAAAGACAAGGCATGAGCTTTTATAAATAGACCTGAAGCCAACCAGTACACTGAAGGGGATGGATCACAAGCCTGTGCAAGCTCAGTAATTAGTTATGGAGCTAGATCATAGCCTGTCAGAACATAAATAAGTGACAGAACTAGTACTCATATATAGGTCACTGCAATGGAGTACACTTTGTAGAAGGAAGGGCTAACAGTACATGAGCACTGTTGTGTGGGGGAAATGACTTGAGACAAGTATGATCTCAGACTCCCCTTTGGGATTTGTCAGGGCCATAGCAAGGCATGGATTGGAGATTGTGTAAGAAGACAGAAACTGGTCAAATCCAGAATTAGCTGTGACTCACCAGGATACTGAAACAGGAGGCTCAGATTAAGGCCTAATGGCTTAATACCAGCCACCTCATCCAGATTGGTAGCATGGTGCAAATAGAATTTAACAACAAGAAATAGTGGAATAAGGTCAAAAGATGAAAAAAATAGAAGAAAATATAAGGTACCAGAAAGAAAAAATTCTGACATTACATAAATTGCAAAAATGAGAAAAGAAAGGTGAAACTTCTGAAATTACTCTGGCCCTCTCAGTGGCTTCTGACTTTGTTGCCTGTGCTAACTTTTCTTCTGGGCCATGTTTCCAATTGTCTGTGGTCCTCTGGCTAACTTTTTATGCATTTCTGAGGTAGAATAAATTAGTTACTGTAGTTACTCATTATGTTTCTTGAAAATTGTTTGGTATGGGGTCATTTCTAGGGTTTTGTTGAAGTAGATATGTGGGATCTGGGCTGGCTGTGTCTTTTCAGGCTGTATTATTATTATTCAGAAGTCTTTGTTGCTTTCTTTACCTTTATTGTCAGCCTTCTCAGCACCAACAGAGCTAATTATGCCACATAAGTGGTGTCTTTTTCTCTGTTACATTCTCTACATTACCAGAAGATTCCTTGCTATAGGATGCCTCATTACTGTAGCTGGCTGTTTGATCACTTCTCCATATTTGTATTGTCTGATGCCAGTATATTCCAGTGACTGACTATATGATACATTGGGGGCTGGACCTAACTCAGACTGGTCCCCTGAGAGTTTACGTCTGATATTAGAACAAAATGAGACTTTGTCAATCGACAAGCATGTATTAAGCACCTACTTACTATGTGCCTAACAGTGTTAAGTGCTGGGGATACAAATAAAGGCAAAAAACCCCATTCTCTCTTCTCAAGGAGGTCACATTCTAATGGAAGGACAACATGAAAACAACTGTGTACAAGCAAGATATATGTAGGATAAACTGAAGATAATTATCAGGTGGAGGGCACTAGCATTAAGGGAAATTAAGAAAGGCAGAGCCTTATAGAAGGTCAGATTTTAACTAGAACCTGAAGGAAGCTGTGAGATAAAGATGAGGAGGGAGAGAATTCCAGGGAGAATTGCATAGCATACAAAGGATTCTTAAGAAGGAGGTACAGCAGTTTCATCAGATAGATCATCCTTCATTGTCTCCATACTGAAATATGTCTGGTCAGCAAATTCAGGGTATGGTAATTTGTGAGACCTTGTGACATCCACCAACTCTGAAGGGCCTCAGCTGCATATAGGTGGGGCCTAGGGTAACCAGAAAGCCATGTCAGCATGGCCTGAGGCCACTGGGAAGCTGGGTCTATGACTTGGCACCTGTGGGGCTTGAGTTTGAACCAATTGAGTCTTGGGGACAACTTCCTTTTATTTTTTAAATTTTTTTAAATTTTTTATTTTTTTTTGGTGAGGGCAATTAGGGTTAAATGACTTGCCCAGAGTCACACAGCTAGTGAAGTGTTATGTGTCTGAGGTCGGATCTGAACTCAGATCCTCCTGACTCCAGGGCCAGTGCTCTATCCACAACTTCTTTTTAGGCAAAGAACTAGCTGTTCTACCTGGTGGGGAGAGGAAGTGGTGCTGGTAAGCATTAATCCTATCAAAGACCTAAATAAATGGATAGATATTAATTACTTTGTTGGGTAATGCTAATATAATAAAACAATGACAATACTATTTAAATTAATTTTTAGATTCACCAGTCAGATTATCAAAAAGTTACTCTATAGAACTATGCAAAATAACAAACTTTATATGGAAGAACCAAAAGGTCAAGAATCCTGGTTAGTCAGTGTTCATTTAAGTACTTCTTATGTGCCAGGCTGTGTGCTGCTAATCCCAAGTGAAACAATGACAAAGAAAAAAAGTTGGAAGGAATGAGGTCTAGCAAAAGTAGATCATTAACAGTATAGTACAAAGTAGTAATCATCAAGACTCTTTATTACTGGTGAAAAGTAGAAAAGTTGATCAGTGGAACAGATTAGGTACACAAGACCCAGAAGTAATTGAACCTAATAGCATAGTGTATTAGAAACTCAAGTGCTCCCAACCACTGGTATAAGGACTGTTAGACAAAAACTTCAGGGAAAATTAGAAAGCAGTCTGGCAAAACAGATTTAGACCACTATTTTCACACCATATGCCACAAAAACAAATTAGAATGAGTAGTGCAGATGTCTTTTTTTTTTTTTTTTGCTTTTTGGTGAGTCAGTTAGGATTAAGTGACTTGCCTAGGGTCACACAATTAGTAAGTGTCAGGTGTTTGAGGCCAGATTTGAAAGGAGATGTCTTTCATCAGTATGGATAGGGGAAGAGTTCTTGACCAAACAAGATAATACAGAGGTCTCATGAGATAGAATGGATGGTTTTTTTACATACAACTGAAGAGTTTTTGTAGAACCTAAATCAGTACTAGAATTACAAAGGACACAGTTAACTGGGGAAAGCTATGTAACATTTTTCTGATGAAGCTCTGATCTCCAAGATATTTAAGGAATCATTGCAAATATAACAATACCCATTTCCCAAGAGAACATGGACAAGCCTCAGAGGAATGCAAGACAAACTATCAGCCATATGAAAATATGCTCCAAATGGCCAATAATAACAAAATGTAAATTAAATCACTCTGAGGTTCTACCTCACCCATAAGATTGGCAAAGACGGGAAAAAAAATTACAATTTTTGGAGGGAGCAGGCATGCACTTCTGGTGGAGCTTTGAAATTGTGCAACCACTCTGTAAAGCAGTTTGGAATTATACCCCAAAATTGCCAGAAGTGTTGAACATTTAGATTTTCTTCTGCACCTCAATTTGTTTCTCCTTGTCATAGCACTCCATTATCTTTAGTCTTTTCATTAAGACAGCATTCCTCAGTGTTTAACTCCTTTTATTCCTTTGTATTTGTTTTTTCTGCCTCCAGGGTGGTAAGTGATATAGCCAGGTACTAGGTGCTTTTGGATGCTCTGGTCCTTCAAAGTTTATACTTACTGCTAGAGACCCAGATGATTATCTATTACAAGAAATGGGAATCTCCCTCTGGTAAAGGCAGCAGTGCAAAAAGTAATCCCGTTGTACAGGATTATTGCCAAAAAAGATATTGGTGCCCATGCTTTCCTGAGGAAACATCTGAAGGCGATGAGATCTATAAAGGAGGTTATAAAATAAAAATTCCTAATGTTCTAGAAAGCTAGCTGGATCTTATAGTCCAACAGATGATTCTAGAAATCCATGGGACCTTTTCTGGTGTTATTGCGAACAGGAAATTTTTGGACTAAACTTCAGATGATGTGGGATCTATTTCACTTGCCAGATTGATGAGTTATAAAAATATCTAACATTTGAAGAAACAACTATCAGTGTTCTTCCACTTTGATTCTCTGACAGTATCCTATTTTTTAGTGAAAAAACATTTAGAATGCCTGTGGCCTAAATGCTAACTTTTGGGAGAGTTAGTGACTTAAACTGTGAGGAAGTAAACTCTACTTCATTCAGAAGTGGCTAACTTCATTCTCCTTTATGTTATATAGGGGTAAGGGGAGTATATATTAGTCACATGGTTTTCAGTAAGACTACTTATTTGATGTGTCTTAGATTGAGATGAGCTGTGTGAAGTATATTTTGCCTCTTTGCAACTGTTTTAATTGTACTTTCTTGTTTATATATTTCTTTCTGTATATAGTGTTGATTCTGGTAAGTGCTTTGAATATGTGAAGTTTTGCCAATTTGACAATAACTTCAGAATTAGAAACCAACCTGTTAAGATCTAATTAACTTCATGTTTTGTTTTGTTGTGAACTTAGGCATCCAATACGATGAGTATTTCCATGCATAGTAGAAGAGAAAAAAGAGACTGTATATGAAACTTCAATCCCTTTTGAATACAACTTGCTTTCATTTTAAAATGTGTAACTTGGTATTCCTTTTTCTAATTATTTTTTTTCAATTAACAGGCATATGTTTTCTTCCTCCCCTGTTCTGTCCTCCCCCCAAAAAAAAGAAAAAAAAAAACGCCTGTAACCAATATTCATAATCATGTAAACAAATTCCCATATTGTCTACATCCAAAAATATGCTTCTTATTCTACGTGTTTAATCTATCAGCTCTCTCATTATCAGCCCACTGGAATCCTGGTTGATCACTGCATTGATCAATTCTGATCAAAATTGTTTGTTTTTATGGTGTTGTTATTGCATAAGTTGTTTTCCTGTTCTACTCACTTTACTTTGCATCACTTCATGTGAGTCTTACCAGGTTTCTCTCAAACTGTCCTTCATCAGTTCTTATAAAACAATTATATAGAATTGAAATCATATGCCATGTTTTTTTTAATCCATTCTCTAATTGATGGCTACCTCCTTAGCTTCAAGGTCATTATGCTTATATAGTCTCCAGGAACCCAGAGTCTTTTCCATATTATGATGAGGCATCTTAGGATTTTTATAGGGTTATATAAATTTTCATCTGCTCTTATATCTGTTTAGTGTTCTTGGGAATAATCCCTATAATTTCTAATGAAGATATATATCCAACTCTCAAAGTGATTAACTCTTATGAGTCTATCTGAACCTAATATCTCCAGGTCCCAGCTCATGCCAGTGGAATGCCCTGGGAAGAGAGAACAACTCTGGGAGTACAAGAGCCACCAAGTATCCAGCCACAGCCTATGGGACTTAAGTGTGACTCTTCAGATCCCCAGATTCTGCAAGAAAGAGGTAAGGAATGGAATTTTATTCAGGAAGAGAGTAGTGATAAATATTTACAGAGGAGTTGGAACAGCTGTGATTTTTTTCTTCTGTATTAGTCGCTCCATGTTTGAAGAAGCAAGACATAAAATCACTATTTATGGGCCAGTTCCAGAAACTATGATTATAGCTTTTGCTGATCTAAAGAATTATGTACTTACAAACTGGGGCTGAAATTCCACTTTAAGTGTGATTAGTCTTAGATATCAATTCTAGAGAACTATAAGATTTCAATCTATCTTTACAGCCACACAGTTTATACCCTAGGTTATGACTTTGCCAAAATACAGTTCATTTCTCAGAACAGGTCAGGTTATATCTCATCCCATCTGAACCTTTTTCCTTTGAGCTTTTTCTTATTTGAGGAAGAAAGTACTGGAAAGGAGACAAAGTGCTTTTTTTAGGGAGAGAGCTATTTATTTAGTGTCCCTAGCTTGGCTAGCATTGATAACCAAGGGCACACCATGTGGTATTAGACTGTTATGTTTTTACCAAGAAATTTTGTTACACAAAGAAATTATTGTGTGTTCAGTATTATTTAACTCAGGAAACATATTCTTCAGGTCTGAATACATGGAATAGATCTGCCCAGATGTGTGTATTTGTATACTTATGAGAAGCAGCATGGTATAGTAGGAAGAATGCCAGACACTTGGATTTAAGTCTGGCTTCTGACACGTACTAATTTTGTGACCATAAGCACGTCAGTTAACCTCTCTGAGCTTCAATTTCTTCATCTCTAAAATGAGGATTCAGTTGAATTAAATTCAGTAAAATTTATTAAACACCTGGGCACTGGAGGTATACAGACAAAAACTAAATAGTCCTTACCCTTTAGGAACTTACATTCCTATTGAGTGGAAACAATTCTGTAAATTAAATGCAAAATTGTATACAAAGTAATTTCCAAGGTTGAGGATATTAGCAATTGGAAACTGAAGGGAATCTGGATAGACTTTCTCTAGATCATTAGTTGAGTTTTGAGGAAAGCAAAGGATTCTAAGAGGATGGTGATTCTCAAGGATATTTTGTGAAGATCATGGGTACTTCCTTGCATGATATATTTCTGACATCCTTAGCTTTCCCTTAACTCATTAGATTATGGTATCAATAAATTACTCTTTGAATCTGTTGGTATTTTTAACCTAAAAGTCCAGTGCTACACTCTTAGCTTCTTAATCTTTAACTCAATCTGTTAACTTCTTTGTCTGTCATTTCAGTTCCACAAATGATTTTTGATTTTTTATAAGGCACCATTCTGTGTAATATGGAATATGTAAAAGATGGATAAAATATAATCTGTGCCTCCAAGGAACTTATAGTATAGTATTATGAGATAGCTGTTTTGGTGAATATAATTGGGAGCCAGTAAATGATGAATAAAAGGATAGTGCAAGATAGTGAAGGTACACATAAGTTTAGATATTAAACATATAATAGAGTTATTTAGCATACTTATGTGGTTTTCAGTAACAGATCTTAGAAGTCTGAGATGTAAGAGATAGATGGTGGAGTTTATCCAAGTTTTGGAATTGGTAAAGCACGTACAGCAAAAAGTCAAAGGGGCAAGCAATTCTAGGGTGTTAGTAAAAGTATAGTTGAAATGACTGACCACAGGATCCAAGCTGAGTAAGGAGGCAAAAAATAGGGGCTCATAACTCTGGTAGAAGTGGAATGATTGAGGGATAAGAGTTGCGAAGGACAGAAAACAAGTGAGAGAATCAGAGCAAGCAGGAATAAGTCAACTCAGCAAACATTTTTAAAATATTACTATATGCTAAAGAAACCAACAAAAATGAAACAGTTCTTGACCTCAATAAGTTAGTCTACTGGTGAGATATAGTATGTACCTAAATAAGTACCAGGTAATTAGAAGAAGAGAATGCTCTAACAACTGGGAAGATCATGGAATTAGTTTGCATAGGAGGTGGCATCTGAGATGAATCTTGAAAGATTAGTATTTAAGAAATATAAATGAGGAGTGTGGGTGGGTGAGTCAATCTATGTGAAGGCATGAAGATGGAAGATGGAATACTGTTTGAAAAACAAGTATGCCAGTTTATCTGGAATATGGAGCAATATGGAATCTAGAAAGTACTTTGGGGCCAGAGTACACACAGGGCTTTTAAGTACCAGGCTAAAGAGCTTTTATTCTAAAGTCAAAGGAACCGTAGAAAATTTTTAAGCAGGGGAGTGACACAGTCACTCAAAATTATTTTGAGCGTTTTGTGGAGGTGGAGCTGTAGAGGGAGAGATGTTGTAGGCGTTGAGATCATCTAAGAGGCTATTACAGTGTTCTGGGCAAGAAGTGATAAGGACCAAATCAAGGTAGTGACATTCTGAGTGAAGAAAAGTCAAAAGCTTCTATGCATATTATGGATGTAAAACTCACCAGATGAGGCAGCTACTTAGATATGAGGATGAGAGGAGTCAAGTCAAGTTAGTAAATATTTATTAAGTGGCTAGTATATGCTGGAGCTAAGCTCTGGAAAGGTGTAAGGATAACTCTTAGGTTATGAAATTAGATGGCTGACATAATAGAGATGATTGAAGGAGGAGTAGATTTAGAGAAAAGTATGAGTTTACTTATTTCTGTTTTAAAATGCAAGAAGATTCAGTTGTAGATGTCCAGAAGAGAGTTGGTGGTGTGAGACTAGAGATAAATTAGGGTTTGATATATGGGTTTGAGCATCATCTCTATAGAGAAAATTGAATTCCCAGGAGTTGATAAGATCAAAAGAGAAGAGAAGAGGACCCAGGAGAGAGCCTTTGGGAACACCTGCACTTAGGTAGTAGATGGATTATGATCCAATAAAGGAAACTAAGAAGGAGCAATCAGAGAAGCAGGAGGAGAATTAAGAGAGAGTATTACATAATCATAGTTACAATCTAGAAACAGAGTGTTTATCAAAAAGGGAAAGCAGCTTGAAGTTACATTTCCTGATTTTAAATCATAGTATCATTGCTTCAGAGACTTTCAGGATGAGTTAAAAATATTCCCACGTACAAAATACACGTGTTCCCACATAATCTAACAATCGTTATTTCATGAATATTAATGAGAATAAATCAAATTATCTCTTATGTGTATAAAATGTTAGTGTCTTCTGATAACTTATAATGAATTCTGGAATTTCCATGTAGGCTATTTTGTTTTAATTAAAAACTTTTGGTTTTGTCCTGTCATGTCTAACTCGTGTCTAACTGGGCAGGTGACTTGCCCAGGGTCACACAGCTAGTAAGTATCTGAGACTGAATTTGAGCTCACATCTTACTGGACTCCAGGCCCATTGCATCTACTGCTTCCAATGTAAATTATAATTTTAGCTTGTAAATGTAAAGGTTTAATAACTTTTAGTTAAGCTTCATGCATTACTTAATTTCATTTATTTATAAATATTTTGTTTCTACAGCATCAACTCAATGAGGTCCTTCGTCATTCTAGTAGTTCTTTCTTCTGGACACTCTAGTTTCCCTGTTTCCTTAAATCATGACACCCAGGACTGAAGACAGTACTATTGATGAGGTCTGCTGAGGGGATAGATATTACAGTGTTTGAGAAACACATGGAGCAGAGTATCCATTAAGAAGGGGTGGTCAGAGTGACAAAAATTGTGGACCATAGTAGAATGAGGACTGAGAAAAAGCCATCAGATGAGTACTTAAGAGACAGTTGGAAACCTTAGAGAAAACAAGATCACTTCAGTGTAGAAACTGAATTATAAAGGAATGAGAAGTAAGAGAGAGATTAAAATGGAAGTGATAAATGTTAGCTGACTTTTTCTGGGCTTGTGCTAAGACAGAAGTGTTATCAAATCAGCTGGTAGAAAATGAAAGGGCCAATTGAAAGTTTTCATGTGTTTTTATGCATGGAAAAGTCCTAAACATGCTTGTAGGCAATGGAAAAGGAGACAAGAGATTGAAGGAATGGAGATTAAAGATGAGAGAAGAGGAAATGACTTCTGGGAATCATGGGAAAGGAGAATTAAAAGGCAGAAATCGAGTGTCAAAGGCAGAAATAGAGGGGTTGTCCTTAATAAGGAGAAGGGCCATTTCTTTCTCAAAAACTGAAGCAAAGGAGGAAAAAAATGAGATGATGTTGAAGGGTTTTGAGTAATGGAGTTAGGGAAGAGGAGAAAGGCCACAACAGATGGTCGCATGTTCTTGAAAAGTAGTGGGTGAAGTCCTCTGCTGAGAAGGAAGAACAGAGATTTGAGGAGAGAAAAAGAACAGCTACTACCGGGAATATATTGTGCAAGAATCAGTCAGAAGAATAAAACGATTGCCATGTAACAGTGAGGATCTAGTTGTAGTTAGACATCATGAGCTAGTAGGTAAACTAGTCAATTCAATTCATTAATTCAATGAGCTGTTTGCTAGGTACTGTTAGGTGCTACACAAAGATTAAAAAAAAAGTTTCCACTCTAAAAGACCTTGCATTTTTGGTAACTTTTAGAGAGTTGCTTAAAATACTGAGAGGATATAACTTGCCTATGGTCACACAGATAGTATGTGTCAGAGCTGAGATGACTTCAGGCCATTCTGCTGGCAAGAGTTATTCTTTATCCACTATACCATACTCTCAGAAGGCAGCCAGATGGAAAAGTTTATATTTTATCTTGGAGATAAAGGGAGTTATTGAAGCTTCTTCAGCAGGAGAGTGACATGGTCAAACCTTTGTTTTAGGAGTTTCAGTCTGTCTGCTCTGTGGAGGATAGTTGGAGAAAAGGAGGAAACTTGGGGCAGGGAGATCAGTCAGGAGACCATTGCAGCGGTCCAGGTGAGAGGTGATAAGAGCCTGAACCAGGTTGATGGCTATGTGAATGGAGAGAAGGGAATAGATTGAGAGATTTTGTGGGGGTAAAATTATTAGGACTTGTGATATATTTGTGAAGTTGATGTGTGTGTGTGTGTGTGTGTGTGTGTGTGTGTGTGTGTGTGACTAAGTGCAAGACTTTACCTTTATCTTT